GAAACTTCTGCAGCTCCCTTGAAACTCATCCCAGATCTGTCCAAAACTTGGATCGAGCTCATAAACCTCAGACAAGTTTTAAGCTGATAATAAATTAAGGTACAAAGTGAATATTTTCTCCTCCTGGAATCTGTTATTAAAAGCCCTGAGTTTCCGAAGTGGACAAATAGTTCCTAGCTGAGTAATTAATTACCTTCCCATCTCCTCTCAATGCTGCAAGCCATCCATTAATGGATACCAATCATCCAGAAGGCACTTAGTACCTGATCATTTTTCTTGAAATTTTGGGGGTGGTGGTATTTTATCAATTTATTTTAACAAGAACTGCTTGCCTTGTACCTCAGTTGGAAGCAGCTTGTTCCAGATACTTGACATTTGGAGGTCAGGATAGATATGGGTCTTGTGATCTCTCTTCATCCCTCACAGAGAAATGCACAACTTGAAATGATGTCACATTTTGAATCCTGTCACTGAAAAAAAAATTTCCTTTTTTTCTGGGGGGGAAATAAATAAATCAGCCATTCAAATCTGTCTGGGAAGAAGCAATTCTAAATTTCTGATTTATTTCTTTGAGGAGCCTTTTCAGCCAACTCTGGTTTGGAGCACATCAAGAAAAACCCAGACATTTTGAAGCTGAATGAAACACTTCAGAGCAGTGCCCTTAAAATCTAGAAATAAGCCCCCCAACAAAGCATGAGTGACACTTGGATCCAATAAAGTTACAGGTTTGCTCCTTGACTGCCAAGTTTCTGGGAGCACCCATGCTTCTGCTCACTCTTGCACAAGGTGGGGGGCAAATCCCAGGTATGGAGGGATATGAGCATGAAAATCATGTGAAAAAAGCTATGAGGAGCAGAAGGCAGAAAGGAGCTTCTCTTGTGCCATACAGGCTTTAAAGTGATTTATTTTTAGACTGCAGTTTGCTGCTAGAGCCTCTCATCCATAGCTTTTAAGGCTGTTACTGCTGAGGTCTCACCTTGTCTTAGGTTAAAGTGATGCTACACCAAATCTGGGTCTCAGCAACACACCACTGCAGAATATAACAAGTCCATTATATACCACTTTTGTATGGAGATACCAAATTTATAGGTTGTCTACAAAATCTTCTCTCTTTTACCCCTGTAATTGCCTTTTGTAGAATTCACCAGGCAAGGGCAATAATTCAAATAACCTCTGTTTCCCACTAACCTAAGTGTTAATCCTAGGCTGACTCCTGTGCTTCAGCAAATCTCTTCTGACCTTGCAGGGCTAAGTATGATGCTGTTTAAGAAACTCTGCCTGTTTGAATCAGAGGCACATGGGTGAGAGCACATCAGCCCATGAGGCACAGAGAGCCCCACACAGAAGCATCATTTCATATTTTGTCACCCTTCTTTGCTACTTCAACACTGTAGTCACAGCTATCTGCTGTGTATATGTGACCATGGCAGGTGTGTGATATTTTGCAACTGTACGCAACAAAGACTATCCAAGGAAATTCAAAGCTGATCAAGAGAAGCCAAGATGAGAAAAAAATTAAAGACAAGTTTGAGTTAAGATATGGATTTAAGGAGCTTGTTTCTCCCCATGCAGACTGCTAATGGGACACAGATCCAGGGGGATGAGAGTTAATACCGACTGAGAGGCTGTCTCTTAATGCCAATGTCACAATAAAGCTTCACTTTTTTCCTGCCCATTCTTAGTCCTGACTCTTTTTGCTGTAATTTTTGTGAGGCAGAAAATTCTGATTTCTGGACCCACTTAGTGCTGAGGGATCACAAATGCAGCATGAGCTTCCAGGCAATACTGCAAGGCAAGTAATAAAATATTTATCCTCAATTGCCTTCTGTGCTTGTATGCTCTGCACAGGAAAGCATCACAAGTACAGCTACCAATTTAGCATTGGCGTCTTCAAAAGGAAAAAAATCAAGCTGTCATATCCACATCTCTCTCAAAAACAAATGTTTTCACACCCTGACCCATCACAAGACATTTTCATTTCTTACATAATAATAATCCTTAAAAAGTCAGATTTCAAGCCAAAAGGAAAATAATTGTAGGTGATAACAAAGGTTACATAGCTTAGAAGACAGGAAGGCCTTTTTCCACAGTGACATTAACCAAGGTGCAACCTTGATATATAACAAGTCATATGATGCTCAGACCTGAGTCCCAAACTCACCTTCAGGAAACCTGAAGATTCATGAAGCCTCAGCATGTGAAGGCACAGCTTGGTTTTGGAGGATGAAAGCAGCACATTACCAGTCATGAAGCAATCCTCACCCACATTTCTTCCCTTCAGCCACCAAATGTGAAGCCCATAAATTCCTAACCCCAACTCGTTTCACCCATTTTTTTAAGAGTGCTACCAAAGCTACAGCCATTTTTCACTTGACACCAGGATCTTTAGCTATACAAGTGCTTTCTTGCTAGCTTCTGGAAAAGCTCTCTTGATGTGCAAAGCTCTGCATGTCTGCCTGAACTTGTCAAGTCTCCAGTGTTACCCAGACTGGGACTATTGGTGCTAAAACAAGGCTCCCTGACACTCTTACCATTAACTACACCAGAGCTAACTCTCCAGGAAAGATCAGCATGTCCTTTTCCAGGCAGTAAGCAGGAAAGTTGTTATAAACTCTAATGGCAGCAAGGAAAACAACCTCATACGATGCATTTCTCCCTTGCAGATACAGGGGGAGGGAAGGACCAGGTGCCTGTATTTACCAGGTGGCGGAGGGAGCTAGCTCCTCCTGTGGGGGTGGTGGCAGAGTTTCTCCAGCAGCAGCACATGGAGCCCAAAGACCAGAAATCCCTGGAATGATGTGCTCTGCAGAGCATCTCCTCCACAGCCAGTTCTCAACAGCAGCGACTGACATCCGGCACTGATGCCAGACCTGCTGCTGCCTTTTTCCAGAAATACCAAGGCACAACCCATCCCTGCACCCCAGAGCCCTCCAGACATCCTTTCACTGGGCCCCTGCACAGCACAGCACGGTGCTTTCCTCCAGCAGCCAGCAGAGGCTTCACCAGCACACGAACACAACTGAAATTGTTCCAGAGGATGCTCAGGTGCAAAGGGCTGCTGGGTGGTGGTGGCAGGAGAAGAGGACAGCTGCTGAACACTTGGTCACCTGATAGCAAAGTTGTCAGTCCTCTTCCCAGTACTGCTAGACCAAGGGACACATCGTTTATGTTTCTGGCCCATCACATCCCAGTGAAAATTAAACTGTTTACTAGCTAACAAAGGAGTTGTCTGGGAATTTTGGTCCATTAACCCCTTCATGCCATGCTCTGGGGTTTTCTTTTGTTCAAGTCACAGAGAAATGTGTGGCTGGGCAATCCTCAGCTTGGGAGGAAAGGCACCATGCATGTGACCAGACTTTACAAAACACAAGATTTTACAGTAATGGCATTATGGTTGGGTATGAAACTGTAACAGAGAATTACACAGCACTTGTGTGTGTGTAATTTTGAGGTGGCTCAGAGCTGGTCACACAAACACAACTTCCCTCTTGACTCCATTGAGATAATGAAGGTTAAAAACGCTTAGTAAAAGACCTGTGACCTTGAAAAATGAATGCACTTTTTGCAGTGTGCCAGAATTGCTCTATTCTTCATCTCAGCAGAAAGCCTCCTGTGCTCCCCTCTGTAAGAAAACTGAGGCAAAGCTGCAGCTGGCCAGACCATGAAATGGGACAGAGGGTACCTCCACACCTCACCAGGGCACTGAGTGCTCTCAAGTGGAACAATGCTCAAAGGCACCAAGTGCACCCACAGAAAGCATGGAGAGGAGTTCCTGGAGTCTCAAGCTTTTATTGCAAAGAAGGAGAAATAAATAATCTAAAGGCCAAAATGATCAGAGATGAAACAAAGTGAAAGGCAGTGACTTCCCCTTCCTTGTAAGGTCAGAACTCATGTGTGGTGCTGGGACTTACTTCAATCCAGAGCCCTCCCTTGTGTCTCTGTGGGTCCCTGCCAGGACCACTGCCTGCAGGCAGGACAGTGCTCAGTGGAGGGGTTTTCCTTGGGGAGCAGAAGTGACAGTGATGGGGGGGTCCAGGTAAGACCTCATCCCACAGCCACTGCCCACCAAGCCTAGGGCACATTTTGAAAATCCTGCAGCACCCCCAGCTGAACCTCCTGCATCCCAAATCATGGCAGCAGGAGAAATGGCATGTTGTGGGAGCTCACTATGAGCTTGACTTTAAGCAAAATAACTATAGATGAGGCTCAACTTATTTTGTTGAGGCCCTTCTGAATCATCTGTCCCTTCAGCCAGATGATGCTCTATGTGGGCTCAGCTATGCTGTCAGGTCTCAGATCTCAGATCAGAAAGGATATGGGAAATCACTATGAACAGCTTCTAAGACATAATTTCACAGTTTTACAGAAGAGGTCATTATTCTGCATTACTGCATTTAAATATGTGATTTCAGTTGTGCATATACTTCATAATCTTTTTGCACTTGCCACTGATTCTGGCCTATTGTCTAACTCCTTAAAGTACTTTCGAAGACCTTGGTAATTGAAATGCTGAGGTAGAAAATTACAAGCAGGGAAATTCATGCCGAGAAGAGAAGTGAATTGACCTGGAAGGTCACATCCACCCGTGGCACAGCTGGAAGTGGGGTGCCAGCTCCTGCTGCCGAGGTCATTCTCCCAGGCACGAAGCATCCCTAGTCACCCAGAGGACATCTGAAATGGAGTGTTGTAAGCTTTTACAGAGGCAGTGGTCTTTAGAACTCAATAAGGCTTATAATTGAATTCTTTAAAAGGGTTATATTGTCCTCAGTAACTCATCACTTCCCTGGATTGGCTGTTTCATTTGCATTTTTCCCCTCATTTTGAGTAAGAATTGAAACCCAGCAATGTTGTAGTTTGCAATAAACAAATAAGCCTCAAATACATAAATAACTATTCACATCCTTTGTGCATATATTCAAGTATTTCACAAGGCACCGTGGTAGCCATTAGCACTTTCAAATGCTTTTTGAAGTAATGGATTGATTTTTTTTGTGTGTCCTTCACTGGAATTGATTCCCAAATTCCTCTCTGCTAATGAGTGAGGATTGGTGATAGCGGTCCCGTGAGGCAAAGTCCGCGTTCTCCTCGGTGAGCTGCCTGGTCTCCATGCCAACTGTTGCAAAGGATGGTGTCACCACAATCTGCTCCTTGGGAGATGGCCTTCTCCTGCAAACAGAGAAGCAGAGGTGCCTGCATCACCCTGTGTTTGTCATCCATTACCAACTGTGCTCTTGGCTGTGCAAACAAGGCAGGGTGCTCCCAGAAAAGGATAAATCCTTTTTGGTGCCTTTTGGAGGCACAGAGCTAATCTGAAAGCATTTTTCTTAGAAGGCACACAAAAAACTTACTCCCTTCCCCCAGCAAACATTGGAAAACATACATTTTCTTAACAAATAAGTTTCCTCTTTTGTTATTGACTATGGCAGACTCCTTCTACCCTGTGCAGGAGAAGAAGCAGCGTGAACCATTTCTGATGAAAAATATCCTTCTTATAGTTTCCTAAGATTTAGTGTACAATATTTTGTGTAACTCTTTTAAATAAAAGAGGAGATTTTCCTGCAATCTCTTTATCCCAGAGGCTGGTTTTAAGAAAACCCTATTGCACATCTTTAAATCAAACTGTAAGAACATACAGCACTAAGACCTTGTTGAGCACCTAAGAGGCTTAAAGGTGTAAAGAAGCCTTGGTTGCCTCCAACTCTTGAGGTCTAATGGGATTTCTTCTTTTTCTCCAAGTCATTAAAGTAACTTGCCTGGATTTCAAGAAAATAGAGCTTAGAAAAAAAACCTGTAAATTACTTCAATGCAATTTCTTGCAGCATAACAAAGATGGGCTTCAAAACAACACACCCAGCTCCCAAGAAGAGCCAAAGTTGTCTTTGTGCCAGTATGTGCACGAGCCTTGGCATTAGGATAAAGTCACCAAGCTGGCTGGCTGACCCAGAGATAGTACTTTTTGAGGAGAGAGAAACAGGATCAGTTTCTGCCTTGGGCACTCACCAGATCTCCCCTCAGCCCTCCTTGGCAGAGTCTTTGCTCATTGACTGCACTGACTGAAGTGCTAAGGACTGTGTCTGGTAACCCACAGAATAAAATCCCCCTGTGACAACAGCACCTCTACCCATGAGAGCTGGGGCTGCCTCTCCAGGAGGGATAGTTTTGCCTTTCCATATCTGGTAACTCTCCATGAAGCCTCATATCTTAACCAGCCTCCCATGAGATAGGACTGAGATGCACCGAAGGACAAATGGGAAGAAAATTCTGTTCTATCATCATAGATGCACCGAGCTAAAATGACCAGCCATGAATCCACCTGGACACTGAGATGGAAGCAGACAGAAGTGTTTTGCAGTCTTTGCTACAGCGTTCACTCACCCCAACAAAAAGCAACCCAGTAGATTGAGAAACTCAAAGCCCACTGCACTGCACAGAGGCAGAGGTGATCACAACCTCCTATGGGAAACCTAACATGATGGAATTAATAATTAATAGCACCAGAGCAGATTAACAGAACGAGTTAATAACTAGCCAAATGAAACCCTCAAAGTATTCTGGGAATCAAAACCCCAAGACCATGCTGCTGCAGTCCCATGCAAAGTCAATACTGAATGGTTCCTTCACTGAAGACTCTGTTTATTGTGTTTGCCCCATAGCTATTGCAGCTTCCCCACCCAAATTTCCTCTCTGACACTTGACCACAGCTGCCACAAGTGCCTGTTCCACCACTACTATAGTAATTTGCTTTCAGTGAATGGTGGGTGGAAGAGATGGAGTCTCCAATTTCTCATTGCCTGCCAGATTTTCCAGTTCAGCCTGAGCCATAAAGGTTGAGCACAGACCTTAAGATAAACCTTCAGACACCAAGACATGGTTATCAGCTGAAATGCTCACACACAAAGCAGAGGAGACTTCTGCTTTGTCACATACACAGCCAACCTTGTGCCAGGCTAATGGGAGCAAACAGCTATTTTTACCATTAATTGAGTATGCAAGAAGGTAACAAGCAAGCCAATTCTTTCACCTCTTTCTGTGCACATTAGTGGGTCACAGGAACAATGAGCAACAACAAGTGACTGGTACCAACCTGCACGAAGTGATCAAAATTGACTTAATCCAGCCAAAGAAACTGAAATTCGCTGCTGCTCCTATGGAGAAAAGGCACAAGAAGTCAGTATGCTGCTAATGCTCTCATAATAGCATTACACCACTGAATTTCTGCATAAAATATCAAGTCAACATGCTTGTTATTAGCCTGCAATACTCAAAGATTTCATGATGGTGAGAACAGTCCTGCAGTCTTCGTACATGCTGTGGCTTTTCAAGAAATGAATCCAAATTTCCCATGGAGAAGAGCAATCCCTTCCCAGCCAAACAACTTATTAAACTCCAGTAAAGCATGAGCAAAGCACAGACACCCACTGCAGTACCTTTTTCTCCCTGGACTGCAAAAACCATTCCCACTGAAGGGATGGGGAGACAAGAGGAGCCACTCAGCCAACTTCAGCCAGGGTGGCTGTGATCTCACCATTCATTCCCTCTTGTTTGACCCCACGGAGAGCTGGCCTAGCTTATTACACCTACACTAATTTTTTCCTATTTGTCTGTAGAGTTAGTTGCCTGCACTGACTCTCTGCAGGGGCAGGGAAGTGCCAGAGCTGGAAGCAAAAGCAACAGGAGAAGTTTATGGTGAGGGACAGGGAGAATAGAGACCCGTCAGCACCTGCTGGATTTGGCTTAGGCTATTGGGGAGGAAAAGAGAGAAGAAGGGATGTGTTCAGGGCATTTCTTCTTCCAAGGTCTTCATCAAGCCCTTAATCCAGCGCATCTCTGAGGCCAGTGTCTCCCAGCCTTTCTAGACAGAAGGGTTACTCAATCCTTTGAAGAACAAACTCAGAGATCATCGGAAACCTTGTGACCACAAAATAACATTCACTTACAGCCAAGTAAAAATCAGGCTGAACTTCTAACTTTTCTAACTTCTAACTTGAACTGAGTGTTCACTTCTAACCTTTTCATTGCCATGCACTGTTTTACTGTATGCATGTGGGAATGCACACGCAAAAGAAACCAAGAAAAAAAGCCTATAATCATGCTACTATTTCTCAAATCACCTTCCAAAATCCTCTACACTGATGGAGAAATTATTTTTGAAGTAATTTGGCAAATACTTCAAAAGCAGATTAGAAAGATCTAATACAGTGAATATACAAAGGCTAAAAAGACCCCAAGACCTGAAAACATTATTTGTGTTTTGTTTAATATATGGAGGCCATAAACAACATTGTTAAAACTTATATATGTTTCAGAAGATACAAATTAGCAACTACTACCCACAAGCTCAGCTCTTTTCTACTATCCCTGCAGATAAACAGAAAGGAAGTCACGTAAGAGTAGAAAAAGAACTGCTGAGCAATGTTTTGGTAGTTACTGAGTGACAATTAGGTTTTGGTTTCTCAGCATTTGAGTTTATGAAAACTAGTACCTACTTACTGAGTGTCTAGTAATCTTTCACCTAAATAAACCCAGGTAGCTATTTCTGCATTGCATATGAATTCAGGCTCTTTTGACTTTTCTCATCCTGGACTAAAAATTGCACATGCAGGTATCCCTGCACACACCTATGTATGTACCATCTGTGCATGTAAGCATAAGTAGGTCAGGATTCACACACCTTCTCCCTTCAGAGACACAGAGTAATGCAAACACCTCCAGTAGCTCTCATGAGCTGCTTTCTGAATGTGCTTCACTGTTTAATTTTGATCTTGTTTAAGCTGATCACATGCACAGACCCTTCTAATGCCCTCTGCCTAACAGCATTTGCCCAGATTACATTCCCAACACATTCAATGTGTTTAGTTCTGGAATCAAAAGACTCTCTTGTTCCACAGTTATGAATGCTGAGATTTAATGAGACCCTCATCATAATTCCCTTTTGCCTTAAAGTTTTCTCAGGTGAATTTAGATTGATTAAGTTTATTAAAACTTACTTATAGCAGATTTTTCTCACTGCTGTGATACATTTATAAACTGCCATCCCTATGAAGTCTTAGTATTACTATCTGGTTTTGCCATTTAAAGCACAATATACTAAAGCAATAAGCACTATATTCAAACTATGAAACCAATGGTAGCTACAGTTAGAACCAATAGAAAATTAAAGAGTCAGAGAGAAAATGTATTCAAACTATCAATGAAACAAAACCTCATCATTCACTGTGTCACCTGCATATTAAACACAAGTGTCTCGAGTCCTAATTAAGTTAAATTAAAGCTTAATGAATTTTTAAGTAGATTTAATAATACAGGAAAAAAAATACTCACCAAGGGGGAGTCCTGGGCTCACTTGGCCAATGTAAAAATATAGAATAACTGCTGCACCCAGGCTGACTAGGGTGTAGATCCACTGAATGACAAACATTATGATGAGGGACACAATGGCCTGTTGGAAAGACACAGTTACCTCAGGGTCTTAAGGTATTACAATGTTGACAATCTGACAGTCCCTTTCCTGCAAAGCCCAGTGGCTCTGTTGACCTCCTGCCCCAGCCCTGTGGGAGAACTGCAGCATGGTGCCTGTGGAGGACTGCTCATCTTCAGACACAGCCTGACACTGGGGCAGCAGTTTGTTCCTCAACCTGGCAAGATAAGCATGGACAGCAACTCTAACAGAAACTTCAACAACTAAGGCAGTGCTGAGACTTTCAAGCTGTTATGAGAGCATCGGTAAATATGCCTCTTTTTTGGCCAGAAATGCTGTGCCTTGTGGTTAAACGCAAGCAAAACCTGAGCTTTGATGGCATCATCATGCCTCAGTCTTTCTCAGGGTCTTCTTAGGAGTCTTGTGTAAGATATATGTACAGTCAGGACCCAGGATACAGCCATTTGGAATTAGTCTGATGAGTGTTTCCTTTCAGGTGTCTCCCTCATAGCGATGTGCTGGGGTGGGGACACAAGATAGACTCTCCTTGCACAAGACCTGCTACACAGCCCAGGTCCTGCCTGTGGGAGGAATGATGCCAGCTGCAACCACGTAGGTGGGTGGATGCTCTTGGGCATTGGTGGCTGAGGCCAGTGGTGCAGCAGGACCCCTGGGGACCCACACCATCTGCCTGCAAAACACTCGACAGCGCGTTGCTTTTGGCCACACATATGGCACCTCCACCTAGTGTTATCTGAAAAGATTTGGGTATGTCATGGCTGCGGTTTCTTGGAAAAGAGGTTCCCATGGTACAGGGAGCCTTGTTTGGTCTCACTGTTAAAAGGTGGGACAGCATAGATTTACAGTGTCATTTTCAGCAGCATGGAGGTAGAGGTAGCTTCAGTGAGGTCCCCTGAGTCCTAGAGGCAGCACAGGTCTCTGCTGGGGTTACTCCAAGAGAAGTACCCAGAGGCTCACCAGATCAGGAGGCAGATTTGGCTCAAGTGGCGTATGAACAGGGGCAGGAGTAGCATCTCCATGGGTGAGCAGGTTAGGAACAGCAAGGCACAGCATGCAAACAAAGAGCTAAATGAGTCCTGACTGACACAATCGGTGAAGCTCAAAGAGAGAGGGCAGAGAGGAGAGGAGTCAGGATGAATAAACACATCTGATTTTTGCTTCTGTGATTTTACTTTGCATTGTTGATCCCATCCCAGCTCTGTTGCAAACTCCTCCCAAGCCTGATTATTGACAGGAAACCAAATCTGCTTTAATGAACGTCAGTCATTTCCGAAAGCAAATTCCCCCGCGAAGGCAGAGAACTGACCGCTCTGCCATGACATGCACTTGGGAGCCACATGAGTTACTGAGCCCAGAGATGGCACCAGCACATGACGTCCTAAAGATGTCAACACTAAAGAGGGGCCACCACATCCCACCCACGTCTGGCACTGCAGCCCAGTGGGACTCCTAGCCAGGAGCTGGCTGTTGGCAGCAGCAGCAGTGAATTTGAAAAGTAGGTGTCAAACTCCATCTAAGGATTAAGCTAACAGGGTTTGGTGGGCTGTTTTAGTGGGTTTGCTCCATTTTATGCACAGCTATGAAATCCTCATCCATGCAACAAAGCCATATGGTTCATTCATTATGCATATCTGACCCTTTCTCTGTCATCTGCCCAATAATCCATCTTCCCGAGACGAACTTAAATGTCTTAAACTTCTCAGCAGGTTGAGACAGAAGCTATTTAAAAGTTATTTATTCTTTAAAGTAACATGCTGAAGGAATGTTCTACTTTCCTCCTTCAAAAGATGGAATTTCACAGCCAGGCTGCTGGTATCAGGAGGTCAGCACTAATGAAACCCCACCCCAAGCTTGCAGAAACTGGCTCATAAATAAAAGCAGCACAGCTTTGAAGCTGATGTCTCAGTCCATCCCACAGCAAGAAAAAACAGCCTGGCACACAGTGAAAAGAGGGACACTGAATTTTTTTCCCAGCCAGCCACACATCTTTAAAATCCTAAGATTCCAGACTTTGAGTTTGTACCTTTTTGGGTTGGGGCTTGTTTGTTTGTTTGTTTGTGTTTGGTTTTTTCCCTATTGTTTAATTTAACATACCATCAGGCTGTCTCTGAATCTGAACTGCTGGGTGCATGGTACCTTGAGTACTTAATTCAGGTGGCTTGGAATACTATAATAAAACCCACTTTTTAAAGTGCTGGAGTGTATTTACACTGCAATATATGACAAATTTCCTTCTGTTTTCTACAATCACAAAGCACAGCTCAAAATAAAGGAAAATTACTTACACCAGCAAAGGAAACCCAGTGACTGAAAAATCTAGAGTAGAAAGATTCTGGTATCTGCTGAATTCCCAGCTCTGGATGTTGTTGCTTTGTAGATGATTCTACAGAAAAAAAAAAAGAATCATTAGAAAGGAGCTATAATGTGGAGGGTTTCCCTCTGCTTTACTTTAACAGGTTCTAGGAACCAAAGCAGAAATTCTAGCTGACAGCTGGGTATAACAGAGTTAAACCAAAACCTCTAAAATAAAAACTGAAAAGAAGTGCAAGAAAAAAACCCAAAAAGTTGCCAACTCTGGTACTGAGTCCACTTGAAGGCTATATCTATATCTCTCTCTCTATCTCTCTATCTCTCTCTATCTCTGCCTCAGTTTCCTTATTTGTGAAATGAGACATATAATACTTTTCTCTCTCAGAGGGGTTAATGAAGTTTAACTGACTAATGTTGATGAAACCCTACAGCACTGAGATAACAAACTCAATGCAAACTCACTAGCAAACACCCACATCACCAATGAAACAAATTCAGACCCTCAGCTATGGATGTTAAATTACAGACTTCACCTGTGACATGGGGACCACTGCATTCTGACAGCCTAAGTTTTAGACTCACACGGCTCCATCCTGCCTACCCCACACCAGGATGAAGTAAACCCCAAGATACACTCATACCCTTTTTAATGTACAGCATTAAGTGTGCCTGTCTAGAATTATGAGTTTAAAGTAAACAACCCAACACTAAATATAGTCCTGCCTGCTTTCCTGTGATTAATCTTCCATAGGAAATTGCATTGGAACCTCTCCTGTGATGCATTGCGATGAACTCTACCCTCACCTGGAATAAATGATATTATTGCTATGAATCACTGAATGACAGCCACATATAAAGCTAGTTTCATGCCTGCCTTCAGGAAAGCGCTGGGAGGACCAAGGTTATAAACCATTCCCACTGAGCATGGAGATGTCAGTCTCCTACAGCCCTTACCTTCTCCCCTTGGGCTGGGGAGCATCATCACTTCACTGCAGAACTGCTCCCCCTGCTCCAGCATCCTGGGTGTCTGCTGGGCATCCACAGCAGGTGATGAGTTCACACCTGCATCCTGCCAACAGCCCTGCTCAGCCAGGTCCTGCTGACTCTCACTGTGGGGCTCCATGGTCTCATCCCAGCTGTACTGAGCTGGAGGAGCATTGTGATGGCGATCCAGGAGAAAGCTGTCTTGTAACGTCTGCTTGGCTGGCTTCTTCACCTTCTTTTGTCTGACCTTTTGGGTTAAATTCTCAGCTTCTTCTCTTTTGCAAGTATTTGACTCACTACAAAATGGTTTAAAAAGCTGGTCCATGTCTTTTTTGAATTCCAGCAAAGTGCCATTTGATCTGCTTTGAATTACTCCATCTGCTGCACGGCTGGAGGGCTTGTTGAAAATTAAAGGCTGGGAAGAGTGAGCAGGTCTAGCAGTTCCCATCTGGGTCTCGTCAGGTTTCTGCTGCACACTGTAGCTCAGGGAGACTGAGAAATAGGAATAATCTACAGCAATATATGTCAACATGAAGTTGATGGTGACTATGGGAGCAAGAACATTCACTTGCCCAATGAAGACAAAAGCCATGGTGATGAGACTTGTTAAGCAAATTGCAGACACTGGAGTCTTGTTGGGGCCTTTCTAGTTCAGAAATAAAACAAAATTACATTTAAATTAATAACCATGAACCTCACCATGAGGATGCCCCACTTGCTCAGCTGCCATGGGTGGTTACCTGGGTTGTGTACAGCACCCCCTTAGTCACGAAATACATGCATGCATGTGCAAACAGAGGCTCACAGGCTAAATAAATTCAAGAACAGGCTGGAAGCCAAAAGCTGTTGAGCTCCCACCTCATCCCTGAGCCTCATTCAAGCTCTGTCTTTGGAAAATTCACCCACTCTCACTCATTTCTCCATGGTAAAACAATGTCATTAAAGCAGCAATAAACCCTCAGAGAGATTTGTGGGGCTTATGGGAAGTCTGGCAATAAAATGTGTTAATTAGAGTTAATTGTTCATCTCTAATTATTCTACAGGACTCTGCATTGCTGCCTACCCAAAAGGCTCCTGCACTCTGCCCTTGGAAAGGCTTCGACTGCCAGAGGCAGTGAAGAAAGCTCTGACTGCATGGAGCAGTGCCACCTTCACATCAGCAGCTTCTGGCCCTGCCCTGACATGCAGCTGAGCTAAACCCACGGTCTGCTGAGCCTCTGCACATGGAGTTTCCCTCCTTTAATCCACCCAAGCTGCATCTGCCCAGCAGCAGGAGGAAAGCAGCAGTGGGGCTGGGCAGGTGAGGATGCTGGAGGGAGGGAGGGAGTCAGCCCCTAGCAATGCCAGTCATATGTCAAGAGGGAAGGCAGCCAGGAGAGACATCACCTGCTCTTCTCTTTGGGGAAGGGTGAAGGCTGGAAAGGAGGAGGAAAAAGAGACAAAGCAAACAGCATTTGGAGTGGAAACACTTGAGCCTTCCGCTCATGAACTTTAACTCCAGGTCTAACATGCCCTTTTTTGGACCAGGAACTGTTTTGCCATTTTGCCACCTGAGAAGCCTACGCAGGCTGTGTAAAGACCTTGCTGGAAAATATGTTACAATATACCCTACAAAATACCTTAGGTTTTCACTTACTGCATTTACTACTTTAATAAACACACAGCTCCAATTGAAACTAGTTCTATTTCCTCCACTCTTATTTATTAATAGAAAACTGGACAAGTTCTGGACCATTACATCTTTTCCGAATTATTAGAAATACATCTTGGGGACAAAGGAACACAGATCTCAGGAAGCATCTTCAGGATCCCTGAGACAGGGAACAGATGGGATGGTCTCAGGATGTCCCTGGCCTGGGTTTAACTCTACAGAAAACATTCGTGTCCTTCCCATCAGCTGGAATTATGGTGACTACAACACTTTCTTCAGCCATGGAAAAGAAGAACTTGTGTGGAACAGACTGGGAAGGGCAAATTATATGTGTTTACTCTCTGTAAACCAAATCTAAACAATTTTCAAGGTGGCAGAGTGAAAGGAGGGGAGAAGTGATCTGCCTTTGATTTCTCACGTCATTTTGAGCCCTTCCCACCATGGCACTCTGCCTAGAGTTCAGAGCAGAAAATTTGACAGAAAGACAGAAAACTATCAGAGAAGAGAGGGAAACAACTTTGCAGTCAGCTTTGCTAAAGCACTGAGAATTTCACAAGGGTTGCCAAGTGGAGAACAGCCTGTTCTAGGAACACCTACAAACTGCCTTCAGGAGCTGGAAGTATTTACTGTCATTATTGTTCCTGCTTTCCTTATAATTATTAATATTTATTATTCTTATTATTGCTATTATTATGACTTTTATTTTAGAAAATTACTTTGAGAAACATAAAACAATGGATAGAAAATTATAAAACTTATAAAACATTTAAATATTTTAAAACATTCATAAATTCACTTTACCAGTATGGTAAAGCATCATAAGGTTTTTCTGGCCACTCTGTACAGACAGTTAGGTTCTGTAGGTTATTGAGAGTGTTGAAATTATTTTCTTCCTGTTCAGAATAAGGGAAAATAATGAAAAATAGTTTGTTCTGAATGTGTAGCCCAAAGACTACAGAGTCCTTGGTGACTGTTGCCTTGACTGGTATCAGTAGAATGATTCATGTGGGTGAAGGTTATTCATGAGGACAAGGAAAAAGCTTCTTGTCATACTCCCAGCAAGACTTTGTTTCAAAGCATATCTAAAGATTAGAAGCCCCTAACTTAACCTTTCAAATCTATTCTTTGTTTTTATTTTATAGTGTCCAGAAGGCACCTTATCTTATAAAAAAAAGTGTCTCTTCCAGTGCACACAGGATGAATCCACAGCAACATGACTGGTCACACACTCACCTATGAGATTATCACAAAGGATAGGAACAGCTCAAAGAAAACGTGCTGGAAAGAATAAAAAGAAAACAGAAAAAAAGGTAAAGAGACAGTTACCATCCATTTCACCAAGTGCTGGGACAAAAGCTTCAGGCTGCTGCCTGGGACTGGAGGGCAGAGAAGAGCTAGGTACTTCCTCTGGTCATGATCAGGATCAGTACCAGTATAGATAAGGTGTTTGCAAAAAAAACCAACCACTGGCAATGTTATATCATAAGTAGCTGTTTTCCTGGGGACATGCTGAAGAAGTGGGAAGGGCTGTCCATGTGAGGACAGACAGCCCAAGGCCAGGGCACAGAGGTGTGTGAGTGAGATGCTGGAGCAAAGCAGGGTTGCTCCTGCACAGTGCCAAATCCTGCGGGACGGTTCAGGGCAGAGGCAGTGCAGCACAGGGCACAGGCAGGGAAAGGACCACAGGCAGTTTGATGCTTGTTTTTTTAATAAACACACCCATTTCCTGGCTTTTCTGCCTATGATATTAGATCCCAAGCCTTCCCCTCCTTGCCTTTCATACATCCCCCATCACACCCTACAGAAACCCTGGCTTCTTGAATTCAGGTGAAGATTTGACAGCTGTCTTAGAGAAAGGATGACTAACCCCTCGTCCAAGGAAGGCAAGCATGGGAATCACGTTCTCCTGGGCGATGCACTGCAGGATCCTAGGTGCTCCGTACAGCCCTCCCATGCAGGAGGCCAGGGATGAGATATATAGCCCTAGCAAAAACAAAAAACCCACCAAGGATACCTGGAGGAAGCAGAGAGAATGAAAAGTTGATTATATTTTCCTTTAAAGACCTCTGAGCAGTCTTAAATACATGTATTTTAAGAGGTCACATATATTTTGTAGCATTGTTGAATGAACAGAGCGAGCCCTGGGAAAGCAGCAATTTAATTGGTCTGTGGTATAAAGTACAAGCAATTAATACAGGAAAATTATCCCATAAAAGTAATTTAATACTGAACATCCTGTACCGACAGAGCCATTTTACAAGCTCATATCCAAGAAATTCTTTGTCACTCGGAGAAATTGCCGCTAAGCAGCAGCTATTAGATTCCCTTAAGTAACTGGAAGTGAGTTTATTTCAGGAGACATCACTTATATACAAAGCACATCATACAGGAAAAGCTGCCCAGGCTTCCAACCATCCAAAACAGGAAGACAAACCCCTGTGTCTCAGAGGGGAAAACCAATCCTGGAAGAAAACCTACAGTAAAACCAAATCAAAATTGCCACTTAAATAAATGGCATCTCAAAAAAACACGCTCCAAAGGATATAATACAATGACCTTATTTTCCTGTCTTCAATGAGAAAAGAATTTCCTTTGGCCAACATAAAACTTAAAAAAAATAAAAATCTTTAAAGCCATAGTACTGACAAGGCTGGGTTTAGTACTGGGTTCTGGTAAGCAGCCTTTCAAACTGGGAGCATCTCCTGCAGGTGTGGAGGGAAGGGAAGGGCAGCTCCTGGTCTGTCACACAGAAGTGAGGACTGGGGTCCCCCTGTGCAGGTCCCCACTGTCAAGAGCCGCAAGCACTGACAGCGTATCTAAAAATACCCACCCAAATACATAAAACCACACAATATGAACATTGTGCAAGAAAGGTTTGAAATGGGAGTGCTCCTGGCACTATGGTGTAAGGACATGGGTAGACTAACTATGCAAAATAAGGTCTAGAGTCACCTGAGCCACCCCCAAGTCCTGCAAGACCACACAAGTCTGACAGTCAGCAGCCAGGCACAGAGAATGGCAAGGCATGGGGGTAACACCAGCACAAAGGCTAGGCAGAGAGAAAAAAAACAAATTTTGGTCCAGATCCATCCTGCCCATACTCCACTAAAGAGAGTGCTGGAGGTGCAGACAGACATCTGTGGCAAGGGATGCCACTGAATGCAGGTCCCCTGCACTCCACATGTCCTTGGCTCCCAGCCCTCCTCTCCTGGAACATAAGGTCTGAGTGAGCATAGGTCCTCCCAGCTTCTGCCTCTGTTGAAGTCAGGTGGCACAAGCTTTATTAGAAGAAATCCCAAAAACTTATATGGCTAAAGACAATTCAAGCTACAATTGACTTTTTCTTGTCTATGAAATCTGCACATAGCAAAAAGGATATTGGGTAAAAAGCCATAAAGAGCTTGCAGCTCGGGGAAGGCATGTAAAATTAATGTCATGATCCAGAATTGTACAAACTTCCTACCACATTTGTTTTCCCCATGAAAATCCACTTGGCCTTATGAATTTTATCTTGTGGGACAGAAGAAACTGGAGGAAAAGATGAGCAGGTATCAGCTTCCATTAGATCAATAGACAGACACTCAATAGGGAATCTTCCCTTCCCTCTCCTCTAATCCTATCCTGCTCTGAGAAATACTTGGAAGAAACAAACGATTGTGCCAGACATCATATATTATTTTAGCTGCCAAAAATGCTTGCATTTAAATGTGCTACTTGACATTCAAATCAGGGTTAGAGGGGAAGAGTCCCTTTCACCAAGGCTGATGAAAGGGTTTGCTGTGGGTTTTGAACACAGAGAGTGTGAGTACACTGCAAGGAATTGGCACTTGGAGCTCATTAGAAGTGAAATTACTGCATCTCATTTTTACGTTTTAAAAGCCAAAAAAATACTGCAACAGAGAATAGCAGCCAAGCACTTGCTCACCTGTGAGTGACAGAAAGGGAGAGTTTGGAGGAGTAATGAGCTCTCCCTTCTCCCTCTCTCCAAAGTCATTAAAATCTAAAGCAGCTTGTAATAACTCAAAGAAGCAACATGAATATTGGGATTGCACCATTGGTTTGTTCAGTACTAGGTGAAAAGAAAACTGCATTTGCTTTGGGGGGGGATTGTTTGCTTGCTTGTTTGATTTTATATTTAACATTATTAAATATCTTCTCATTCTTTACTGGGAGATTTTTCATTTCCCCCCTGATGGTTTTGAAGTTAAAATACAGCTTTAACAACCTTTCTCTTCAGCTGAACCATTTAAAGCTGATTCTTTTAGTTACTGCACTTTTGGCCCACTAAATCACTGACGTACAAGGAGGTTGCCTTACAGAAGGTAGGCTCATTCTGCTTTCTCCTGAAACAAGAGATGGTTTTTTTTGACCTTTGCAGGAAGTGGCAGAGCCCCACCAGTACTTTGGAGTTTATCTGGGGGGCTGGAAGAAGTCTAGAACAACAATTACTTAGAAAACAAAAGCCAGAGTTTCAAACTGGTATTTTAGATTAAAAGCATTTTACAAATCAAATACTGCAAACTTCTCAACTTCCAATTAATCACAAGAAATAGTGTCAAATACGGTGAACCCATGATTTTGGATAACACTGAATAGGAGAAAATTAGCCCTTCTATGTCCCATTTAAAGTAAGACAATGGCACACACCAAAATCTTTTGCTCTCTTTTTAAAGGCCTGCAGTGATAAGGTTCATTGTGTGTTAGACTACAAACCTCCCTCGTGTATATACACCCATGTGGAATGTCTCAAGCTTAATAATCCTATTGCTTGCCCTGCAATTACAGCCTCCTAGATATGGAAATGTGAGCTTCGCTTGACTTAGTAAAGATAAGCAGGGGGGTTCTTTAGAGATTTCAATTTGGTCTAAGCTGTCACCAACGAGAAAGGAAACATTGAATAAAATACAGCATTTATCATTAGACCACATTAGCATACTTTAGCTCTTAAAGCTATTGCTGGGTGATTATGCCAAGATTCAGCATTACTGGATATGCTGGTGAATGCAAAGCTATTCAAATCAATTGTACACTGGGATTTGCAATAGGGAAATCCCCCTGAATTTCAACGAGGGATGCATACCCAAATTCCTTATGCTTTTGGAAAATTCAAGCATTCAGTAAGGTGGATGGCAACCTGAAAGCACTGTCATATATAAAATTAGTTACCTTCTCTGCTATCATGAAGTCATAGCGAAGTGACTGACGGGTACAAATGGCTCCCAGCAAAAAAACAAAGACCATGTACAGAAACCACCTGCAAACAACAAAAATAAACTTTTTTTTCCCAGCAAGACAAAGCCATTGAAAATTCTGCCCATTAGAAGAGCCAGGAGACAGTCAAGTACCCACAAGTTAGGTCTTCACTCTGCATGGTTCCTGCATAATTTAGCTTCTGGGCTAAATTCAACACTGGCCCATGTTACTCACCCCCTACAATGTACAGGGATAGCTGCAGCATGACTGTATGGTACCCCTGAGGGGAAGCTACCTGCACTCTTGATGTGTGCATGAGGGGAATATCTCAGTCCCAGGGACAGACTTTTCAGCAGGGCCTGTAGCGATAGGACAAGGGGTAATGGTTTTAAACTAAAAGAGAGTCAATTCAGACTAGCTTTAAGGAAGTAATTTTCTACAATGAGGCTGGTAAAACATGGGAATAAGTTGCCCAGGGAGGTGGTGGATGCTCCATCCCTGGAAACATTCATGGTCAGGATGGACAGGGCTCTGAGAAGTCTAGTTGAAGATGTCCCTGTTCATTGAAGGGAAGTTGTACTAGATGATCTTTAAGAGGTCACTTCCAACCCAAACCATTCTCTTATTCGACAGTTCTGCAGGTACATAGGTCCCCTCATCCAGCAGTAATGCTAACAGCATAACCAGTTTGCTCTGCAGCCTCAGTTAGGATCCTCTTCTGGTGTCTCTGGCCTTTCCAGTACTCAGGCAGGGGGATAGATTAGTCTGTAAAGTCCAGACAGTAGAGATGTGAATGACCACAGCCATGGGTAGATGTCTGTGTCCTGTGGAATCCTCCCACTTAAAATAAGCATCAGTTTCAGCA